CAAAACATGTTTACTGTGTGTATGTGTGTCTTGCCCCAGGTTGCATGGGAGGCATTGGGAATATAAACATGGACACGATGATCCGAAGTGCATGGAGCTTAGGGATGAAAGTGATTTGTTAACATTCTATTCGATACAATATGGCAGGTGCCATGATTCTCCACAGGTACAGGATGTTGTGTTCTCTTGGAGGAGACGAATTTAGCTCTACTTTGTGCTTTAAATGAACAATTTAGTAATGAAATGATCTGTTGATAGTGGTATTAAGCAGAAGAGAGGAATTTATGTCAAAAGAAACACATAAAACAAGGTATTTTTCTTACTTAAATGGGATGCGATTTAAGATGTGTGCATGTCTTCTATGAAATTATGTAACTGTGCTTCCAATTAAAACATTAAGCTTTTTCTTTTCTCTCTACTCATGTTTTTAAATATTTTGGTGGTAAGTTTGGGTGAACGCTGAATTTATGTTGTGCCATCAAAAAAAAAACTTTCACCAGTCCCTGCCCCTTGCAATGCAGTAGCATTTACACTTTGGGAAGCCGGTAAAAGCCCACAGTTAGGTGGCATTCTGGTCAGCTTTTCAGACAAGACCTTCAGTGTATTTGCATAACCTAGCTGTACTTCAATTCTCTGTAACTGTAGAAGTTATTTCTTCCTCCTTATTTGGCTGCTCTGCTCAGAACTTACAGATCTCCAATTCATCCTCCCGGAATGTGCAAACTCCCTACATTCCTCCAGTCTCTTCATTCCTGCTGATCCCACAAAAGAAACACTTCTGTCTAGTTTACTGCAGCCACAAATAGGCAGACCACTTCTTCACTTCATGCATCTCCCTGGTGAGGATGGATATGGGAGAGGAGATAGGAAAGAGACCTCGATCATTCTAAATAATTAAAACTCTAGCTTTATTCTTGGCTAGAGATTACTCATTCTAGTTCCTAAGAGTGTGCCTGCGATGATAACTCTAAGTATCAGGGTTCTACCAGCCCCTTTGCTGAAAAAAAAATTTTAGAAAAATTACTAATAGTTCTCCTTACAAAGTTGCTTCTAAACCCATGGGACTTAATCTTTATCCCTTGATGCTATGTTTCTCTCATGCACGATCAACTGATATTTATTGTTCTCTGTGGACAGAAACAGGGGAGTTCAGTATCTGTTTACTCAGTCTGCCAGTTCAACAAAACATTAACTGGGTTCTTTCATTCAATATGCACTTCAGCTGATATAATAAAAGATTTTTAATATATTGAGTTAATTGGTGATATAGGTCTGATCTTGAGGACAGTACAAATAAAAATGAAAATAAATGACATACTTCTATATAATTAGATCTACATGTGATGTTTGCCCTTAAGTGGCAAATACTAAACACATTTTTGTTTGTTTGTTTGTTTGCAGTGACTTGTAGTACAGAAATCATCATAACCCCAGTATTTGTGGCAGGTTTAACTGACTGGTTACCAAACCGTGTCCTTTTCCTCTGAGGCACACAACCAGACTATATTTTCCAGGCTTCTTTGCTATATGATTGGATTTGGGGCTCTGCTACATTCCAACAAGATTTTCCAAGATTAAGAACCCACTTATTAATTATCCTCCATAGTGCTCTGCTTTCTAATTTCCTGCGCCTTTCTTGTATATGTGTACATACATATGGATTATATAGACCCACATATATTGAGGCTGTCTCCTTGCCTTGTTGGAACTTTATCAATGTAACTCCAGCTGACTCCACTGTGAATTGATGCACCACTGTACAGAACACCAGTTAATCAAATTAACCATTCCTGTTAAGATAACTAAGTTCATGTTAAGGTAAAAGTATATAGACTTTGAATGGGGAATAATCATAGAAGTAAAACACATAGGCTTTGTGGATAGTCTAATATTTTTCCTTCCTGTCATGCTTCTTTCACATTTGTGATCTCTCAGTTACATTCTGGGTAGTTATTGTCTCTTATGTGATTCTATAAAAAGTGAGCTGTTATTGATCCAAAATCCAAGTGCCTGTTTTTCTTATGTGTTCATATATTCCTTCCATAATGAGTAATCACATATTATA